CTTTATCTCATTGTTAGTTTCTACTGCTAATCTTTACATTTATCAATTGATATTAGGTGAAATCATGTGTCCTTAAAACCACATTATATATTCAACTGTTATCCAATTTTAAGGTAAACACTAGTTTAGGCCATGAATTACAGCATATGTAAATGTAATCACGCTAATCATGAGAGTATTAGCTATGAAACAAGTAACTGTGATAATTAATATCCTCCACTGGATCATATGCGAATTCAGAATTTAAACTTTATGAGTTTAATTTTTAAAGTTTTTAGCATTGAACCCATTATATTTTTAAAACTATGGGTTCATATATACTATTGTTACAATTTTAATGAATTTTACACATAAGTTTATAGTTCGATAGAAAATTATGAATTCAATTTAACTTGTAGATTTAGTGCTAAGTCCGCCCCTGCACTAGATGAATATATGTTCACACACTAGTCTACTGACAATCCTTTTCTAATTCTTTCTGGAAGAGGGATATGTAAAAACTTAAAAGTGTAAATTTAAAAGAAATGAACGTTTTTTTCCCTTTGGGGTCAACACGGAGAAAGGAAAAGGTTCAAGATTGCCTTTTATTTTTCTAATTGCATCTTGAATACTTTTCACCTTCTGCTTGATCAAAAGCATTCTTGGTAGTGGTAGGAACAATCCTTTTTTTCTTTTGGCTTATTTTCCTTAGAAACTTCAAAGGCATACGTTAGGAAGAAAAGTTTATTTGGGCAACTTTTGCCTTAGTGTTAGCCGAAAGATTAATCGATGGATCTAACTCTCATCTTTTTTCCTTAAAGTTAAATCCATATAAAAGAAAAGAAAAAACAACTACATTTGTTTAGAAGTTGGCAGATCTTAAAATGGGTTCGTGGATTCGACATTGCTTCGATCGCGATCAAGTAATATGCATATAATAGATTTTAAAATCTAATTTTTCAATTCAGAACTCATAACGTCTAAATTGCTATACTTTTGGTTTTTGACAGCAAATTTTGAGTTACATAGCGTTGATATTGTTTTGTAGACCCACAGTAATTTAAAGGACGAGGACACTTACTAGTTAACTTGAGATCAGAACTCTGTATGGGTCAAAATCTGACCAAACGAGAATCCGTGAGAGAAGGAACGACAAAGAGTGGGCCAAAGTCGTATTCGTATAATGCTATAGCAACCCGTATCTCGGCCACGGCCGAGGTCACGTGCTCGAAATGCTTGAATGGAGAATTGGATGTTACGGCATTTTAGAGGGTCGACCAGTAGTACAGTCGAACGGATTAACTATAATGGATAGTGACCGTTGGGTAAAGAAAAATACCTAGTATATAAACTAAGTGAAAAGAAGAAGAAAAAGGGGGTTGAAACAAATGGAGACACAGACATGTTCTCTGAGAGAAAGAGAGATCTTCATCTCTCTCTCTCCCTACAAAGGGGCAAGAAGCAAAGAAGCTCAGGTCCTCAATATATATATATATATATATATATATATATATATATATATATATATATAAGTGCTTTTGTCGAGGCTAACGGGTTCCTATGACCCCTCTACAATCAACGTGGGTCTGCCTCTGTCATAACACACTTCATGTACCATCATGAAGCCCTCGCACTTTTACTTCAGAAGAAGTCTGTTTCGCCCTCACATCCTCGTGTTCCCTTTCTTTATATATTCTTCTTTGATAACCGTGGTGACTGGGCCAGCTTGCGCGCACCTTGACTAATTCCAAGAGATACCTACTACCTCCCACCAACAACGTGTAGCAGGTAACTCTGTCCACCACAGCTTGAACATATGGGAAGAAATCACCTTACGTGTTTTTGTCTCCGTTGGAATTTGAACATGAGACCTCATGGTTCTCAACTCACTTCATTGACTACTAGGCTACACCCTTGGGTGCCCCTTTCTTCATATTTCAACTACAACAAAGTAGTTTATGATCATCATTTAAACCTCTAGTCCACTAAGGGTTTGAGATTGTTTTATGTTTTTCTGCAAACATATAAATACAGGTCACAGCCAAATAATGAAAGCAGAAAACCTCAGACCTTGGCTATCTTATACAAATTATCTTCTTTACTGTATTAAGTTTCCAACAAATGCAAGAAATATCATATAGATAGATCATGTCATTTCGCATGGAAAAGTGATCTTCCAACTTCTTTCCAGGGAAAAGCAGCATGGTTCTTCCACAGGGTGGCCTGCCAATTGGGAAAAGGAATGAAGGGAACTACTTTTAGACAGTAATATCAAGCATCTTGTCCTCTTTACGACTCCCTCTAACAAAATTCAGAAACGAGCAGAAATATGTATGGCTCGATAAAACTGAAGGTCATAATTTGCTATCAATTTCATTTTCGCAAACCACCAGGACAATTATGGACAAGCTGTGAGAAAGCACAGGAGAAATTATATTATTGATGTATTAACATATGTTACAATGAGCCCTATATATATACACACATAACATGTCCTACTCCTAATATATATTGAATTAGGGTTATTTATTTACTCCTATTTACATGACTATTCTAACACTCCCCCTCAAGCTGGTGCATATAAATCATATGTACCGAGCTTGTTACATATGTAGTTAATACGAGGACCAGTGAGGGACTTGGTGAAAATATCTGCAAGCTGATCATTCGACTTCACAAACTTTGTAGCAATATCTCCCGAGAGTATCTTTTCTCTAACAAAGTGACAGTCAATCTCAATGTGTTTAGTTCTCTCATGGAACACTGAATTTGACGCAATATGAAGAGCAGCTTGATTATCACACACAAGTCCCATCTGACTAATCTCACCAAATTTCAACTCCTTGAGCAACTGTTTGATCCAAATTAGCTCACATGTCGCCATAGCCATCGCTCGATATTCTGCTTCTGCACTAGACCGAGCAACCACATTCTGTTTCTTGCTCGACACCAAATTTCCTCCTACCAAGACACAATATCCAGACGTATAACGTCTATCAGAAGGTGATCCTGCCCAATCAGCATCTGAGTATCCAACGATCTGCTCATGGCCTCGACCCTCAAACAATAAACCTTTGCCTGGAGCTGATTTTATATACCGAAGAATGCGAACAACTGCATCCCAATGACTATCACACGGAAAATCCATAAACTGACTCACAACACTCACAGAAAAGGAAATGTCAGGTCTTGTCACTGTAAGGTAATTTAATTTACCAACCAACCGTCTATATCTTGCAGGATCGCTAAGAGGCTCCCCCTGTCCTGGCATAAGTTTAGAATTCGGATCCATCGGAGTGTCAACCGGTCTACAACCTGTCATTCCTGTCTCTTCAAGAATATCTAAGGCATACTTTCGTTGTGAGATCTTAACACCTGAGCTAGACTGAGCGACCTCAATACCCAGAAAATACTTTAGTTTGCCCAGATCCTTAGTCTGAAAGTGTTGCAAGAGATGTTGCTTCAATTTAGTAATACCATCCTGGTCATTGCCGGTAATAACAATGTCGTCAACATAGACCACCAGATAAATACAGAGACTCGAGGCAGAATGCCGATAGAATACAGAGTGATCAGCTTCACTCTGAATCATGCCAAATTCTCGAATAACTGTGCTGAACTTACCAAACCAGGCTCGAGGAGACTGCTTTAGACCATAAAGTGACCGACGCAAGCGACATACAAGGGCATCAACTTGGAATCAATAGATCACCACAGGATACTACATAACTGAGCATCGACCTTCTCCCACTGTGTTTTGGCCTTTTCATCACCTTCGCTTAAATGATCTTGAACTCCTTGACCTTTACACCACAACTCGACAGATGAAGCCCAATCTAAGTAGTTTGAACCTCCCATTAAAGGTTCTGAGGTAATCATAACACCGGAACTGCCAGAACCCGGGTTTCTAGACCCGAAAGCATCGACTCCCAAAGACATGGTTGGATTATCACCAAATAACAAAAAGAATCAACTGAAAATTCTCTGAAACAGATGAAGAAAACACTGTGTTTGCCGGAAAAGTAATGTAGCTGCCGGAAAAATCAGTGTAGTCGCCGAAAAAACTCAAAGTGGTCGGAATCAAACGAAAACAGGATGGGTAGGGTCGGAATTGCTGTGCGACCAGGCTGTCCTGAAGAAGCTCGGCCAAAAAATGGCCGGAAGAGGCCTCACGCGCCAGCGCGTGACGACGGAGACTCGCCGGAAAATATTTTCCGGCGGCGCGTGAGGGCGCGTGGGAGAGGTTCTGCCGGAGAAATTTTTGTGGTTTGGTCGCCGGAAGCTGATCTATCTCGTGGTGGTGTTGGTTTTTGCACAACACCGACGGATATTGATTTTTTCTTGCGGACAGTGCTGTTTTGCCAAAAAAAAAGGTTTTTTTTCCCTTCCCGGAGTCGCTGGAATTTACGCACGGCGATAAATATCTCACGATAGCTCTGATACCATGTGAGAAAGCACAGGAGAAATTATATTATTGATGTATTAACATATGTTACAATGAGCCCTATATATATACACACATAACATGTCCTACTCCTAATATATATTGAATTAGGGTTATTTATTTACTCCTATTTACATGACTATTCTAACACAAGCACTAACGAATTTGGTCATAAATCAATGTTGTCAAAGGCGCGCTTAAAGCACGCTTAAGCCTTGAAGCGAGGCTCAAAACATGTTGAGCGCTTCGCTTCACTTTGTGGGCGCTTCAATGTCGCATCAAGGCTCTAAGGCATACTTTTCCTTGCCAATGAATGTAATCCTGAAAAGGCGATACTAAACAATTGATATTTCACTCTATTGTAATTTTTTTTCAATTTCTTTATCCATATATTTGTTATTCATGCTTATAATTATTGGTCTTGGACTAAATATACATATTTTTACTTTTTTCTCCAGTTGTGCCCTTAGAGCTTTTTTACGCTTTTCGCCTTTGATAACACTGTCATAAATCTAATAAATAAACGTCCGCAAAAAGAATGAATCGACCGAGACACACACTGCTCTTATATCTCAGATCATAGAACAGAGTAGAGATACAACACATGTTTTAGAGATAGCAATGCTTTCACTTTGGGAGAGGACGCAGCAACTTGACATGCCACTAACTTTAATGCAGCATCTGAAGAGGAAAGTTTTCGTTTTTTAGGTTTAATTCCCAGCTTTCGCCTACATTTTACAGCACCACAGTGGCAATCTTGATCTTGCACCAAATTGAACGAACCTGCTACACTTGTTAGACTGAGCAAGGGCAAATGCACACTCGGAGATAACAGACTGCTGACCGAAAATGCTAGGATGGCAGAAAACAATCAAAATAAAAATTCAATGTCCATACTGATAATCGTAGGTCAGATGCTCGCCCTTTTTAATGTCACGTGTCGCAAATATGCCAATTCTTGTCTCACCATCCATCAACCTGAAAATATGATTCAGTATGAAACCAAAATAATTCCCACAATAGGCTGGTATCCCTGAGAAGAAGGTTTGAGAGAGCTACAAATGATTAGTAAATATTAAGCCGTTTATATACCATTTCTGCATCTCAGTATTTGGACAACAGCTATGATTAATGTATCGGGATTTGTTGCCCTTGTAAGTGGCATCAATCACCATATCCCGATTGATCTCACACAAGTAAAAGTTTGTTTCCCCACTATGCTTCATTTTCCAAAGTCTCTCTTCACATGTTTTGTCATCAATAACTGCAGTGTAACAGCTCAGAATGTGCAAAACATGAAATACTCTTCATACTAAGCAAGAAACTGAAAGAACTTCACCTTCTCCAACATATTCTATAACAAAATCTTTTCTCTTGATATCTTCACCTGCCTCAATCCCACTGCCACATTTATCAGTCTGCATTTTACGTGTCAACAAAGCTTGACTATCATAGATGATTATTGGCTGGTTTTCAGAAGAACGAAAAGTTGGAAGAATACAAAATAAGCAACAATAATTTATTTCTACACCAGATATGTGAGAAAATGAAATGCAAAAATAGATATGGCAAATGGTACCACCCTGCATTTTTTGAGGAATTTGGAAGTTGGTACCATTTGGCAAATTTTATGTTTGTTTAGGTACTAATTGATTACTTTTTTTACTTTATCATTTATTGATTGATTACTTTTTATGAATCCATCATTATATAATGAGCTTGACTTACTTCAGTCGGCTTGTAAACCCTGGTCCTTTTCTTAAAAAACGACAAAAAAAAGAGAACCTAAAAGAAAAGATGAACATGAAAGGAAAATTCAAAAACCTATGTTATGACCAAAGCACTGCGATACCAATCATAACTACTCAGTCAAAGTATGTACAACCTCTTAAAAGTGGAAAAATAAGAAACATCAGGTTCTAAGCTTCTTTGGTGTCAATTGTCTGAAAAATGAAAACGCTCTATATGGGAAAGGAATTGTCTACACTCCTGGTAATAAAAAGACTAATAAAGACAACGCCACAAAAGATATAAATGATGACTCAATGCTGTCAAAATGCACACAATAACAAACATATGTCCAAATATCTCAGTGTTCAAAGTTTATGTGCATACCATAACTATTTTCATCTTCTTCACAGGACGTAGATGGAATGGTTTGTTAAGACAAGCACTCCCACATTTACACCCTGAGGAGCAGCTAGACCATAAAATGCTGCAAGAAAAAGCAAAGTGAAATAACTAACAACCCACGACTTTACAGATGGTTTAAATGTCAAGATGCTGAAAGTAGTATCTCTTTTGCGCCTCAGGTGCTACTTCATAGGATAAAGGTTTGCATAAAAGTTATCCAACATAATCCCAAATTATGTATATCCTGGATTGGATGATTCTGGATAAATCATCCAAAGAAGTCTCACCAGTTTATTTACAAGAGGGGGTAACTATAACTTTTCGCTGGATAAGCACCTATTATGATATATAACATATTAAGGCACCATCTTCTTATTTCATCTCTTCTACTTTTTTTATTTTGAGAAGGTAACATTCATCTCTTCCTTTTTTTCACACCCAATCAAGCCTAGGCTTCCTGCCACATCCCCTTTCATCGAAGTCCAGCTTTCCTCCCACCTTAACCCTTATGCCAGGAACCTTGCTATTCTCACTCTTACAACATAGTCAGAGCTGCCTCTCTACCCATTTAGAAACCCCATCCTACAAGCACCACACTTGCGGATTAACCAACCCCCACCCCATGCGAGCCCCTCTTGTATCCCCTTCAGTCCCTCCTTCCCTCACGTATTAAGACTCAACCCACACTCAACTTCTCCTTCTCTATTTTCCCTTCCCCTTGCTTATTCATCCTTCCATGCGAATTCAATATTTATCGCCTTTCTTCTCTTTATCTTCTCTGGGACAAGCTTTTTTTTTTCTTTTTTTCTTACGCAATTTTAGTTTGTTTTTTCTCAGATTGATGGATGATGATTCTGTGGCATGAAAAAATTAAGTTGGACTAAAATATAACTTCTAGAGTTTTTAAAAAATATTTAAATAACAAAAAGCAAAAGATGATGTCAAGGGCCTACTTGGGAAGCAGCAATAAAAGGTCATCCCATTGCCAGTCAAAAACTCCATTGGACAATGATGAGATATCTGGTCATTAATCAGGACACGCCAAACATGTGACATGACATATAATCCAACCCATAATCTCCTCATACCATCCTATCCAGAGAGAAGGCATATCCCATTCAATTACCAAACAGCTCCTTAGTGCAGTGACTACCTTCTCCTACAATGAAACTAATACCACTAGTCATTCCATCAATTATTCACTAATAAAAAATGAGTAAAGAGCTTTGGTGTAGTGGTAAGATTGCAGCACCTGGTGCGTGGATTAAGCACATGTCAAGGGGTCGAACTTTGCTGCAGACAAAAGCCTAGCATTTAAGTGGAAAAGGGTAGAGCGGCGGGCCCATTATCAACTGAGTTTTGAACCGTGCACCAGTGGTCCTTAGTGGTTTCTTGGTTATCAGAAAAACGTTGAGTAAATTCATCTAACCCTCTCATACATCCACCAATGGTCAAATATATCTCACCATCAAACTAATAATTCCTAAGAATATATAAGACTACTTTTTTTTCCTGATAAGGTAAGATTTTATTCAAAAGCAGTATCAAGAAGATACTGTGGCAAAATACAAAGAGCTAGACTTGACACATTAAATCCCTATAAAATCTAACAAGTCGAGCATATCATGGAAATATAAAAATAAAATTTCACTCTTCCAGTAATACATATTAAGAATACATCTATATTTCACTACTTGAAGTTGCTCCTTATTGCCCTCAGAACATCTCCTATTCCTCTCAGTCCAAATGGTCCATGTATGCATAATGGAATGGTCAACCAGATCTTCTTCTGAAATTTACCTGCATAAATTGACTTCCGGCATCCTAACAGACTTCTGAGAATTCCAAGAATAGCACATTGCACACCATAAATTTCCATGAAAATGGTCCAAATCTGCCAGGTGTAATTGCAGTCCATAAAGAGATGATCAACAAATTCACAAGAGTTTTCACATAGATAGCATCTGCTATAAAGCTTAAAGCCTCTTTTCCTCAAATTCTCCTGTGCCAAGCATGCTTCATGGACCACCAACCAACCGAAACAAGCCACTTTGATTGGTGCAAAGTCTTCTAAATCAGCTTCCAAGGCCACATAGATCCCAGTTCAGTGTCTTGTTAAATGAGTTATAAGAATTGATGGTGAAAACTCCTTTCTATTTAGAATTCCAGCACAATACATCTACCATCCCCTGATTTATCTTCACAGAATGCATGTTTTGCAAGAAAAAGGTCCCCTTCATGCATTTCCCGGTCAAAGAAAATCCTCCTGAACTGGAAGTCTGAGAATTCCAGCCATCTTCACTAAAGACATCAGCCATTAATACATGGGAAAAGGGCCAAATATACCCCTCTACTTTAAGATATTGTCTACATTTAACCTCCGTTATACTATCGGGCCAAATTTATCCTACCATACTATCGGGCCAAATTTACCCCTACAATCACCAAACTTTAAAAAAGTTACCCCTCAGTCTGTCAGGTGACCCAGAATCTCCCAAATCATTTTAATTAAGTTACTGATTCTTCTTCTTGGTCCACTATTTTCGAAATAATTGGCATTTACATACTTTCTGAATTGGAGAAAAAAAATATTAAATAATACAATTGTTAATAAACAAAGTATAGTAAATTGAAAAATCTAAATTAGGTAGCTTTTCTAAATTCTAAAAGTATTTACAACATCCCAATTTTAATGAATTCGTTTCACCAAATGTATGGAGACTTTGCATTAATTAGTGATTGAAGTTGAAGTTCCTCGGAGACTTTACATTGTCTAATTCAACTTTGCTTTAATCAATGCACATTGTGCACTCTTAAGTAATTGATCGAACTCTATACTAACCAGGCAATGACAGAATATATTTGAATATACATGTACATACATGATGGTCAGCTGCATATAATACACAATAAATAGACCCACTGAATTCTACGGTATGTATATGATGGAAAAATAAATAAAATTTTAAACCAATTCCAAAACCATTATTACAAGAAGAGAAGTGGGTGCATTGGTAATTTAAAAAAATTATGAATAATTTGTATAGTCTAGTAACTTTAGCATTCACATCAATAGTAATTACTGAAAACAATGGAGCGAGAAGAACAATACGTGATTTAAATAAAAGGAATTTGGGAGATTTTGGATTACTTAACAGATCACCGGGTAATTTTTAAATGTTTGCTGATTATAGGGGTAAATTTGGCCTGATAGTATAACGGTAGGGGTAAATTTGGCCGGATAGTATAACGAAGGTTAAATGTAGACAATATTCGAAAGTAGAGGGGTAATTTTTAGAACAATTAACTGGACTAGCAGCCCATATTAGTTATAAACTTTAAACTAGTATTAGTACCCGCGCGGATGCGCGGATACTAATCATGTCAAATATTTAAGTTATTTGGATTGTATGTAAATAATCTTAAAATTTACACTTTCTCAGTAAATATAGATAATCATTGGATATTAACTACATGAAAAAAATTAACCATTTCTTCTATTTTTCTTTTTTAATACTATTCTTGCCGGTGTCTGGATCCTAGAAATAGTCAGAAAGCAAAATAATAACTCATATTTATGGCAAAACAATTAAATGTTGAGCAATGAATGAATCTTTGGGTAAGACTTAACTCTTTTACTACTACTTGTACTCTTATTTGGTGTGTTGATATCTCTTAAAAAATACTTCTTTCTTAAAATTTCAGTTTCTAAAACATTTTTTTCATTAATAATTATTTTTATAATAATGTAGTAACTGAAAATATTATTCGTAATTCAAAACTCATTTTAGTTAGCTATCTAAAAATATAAGAAATTCTTTAGCTAGTGAATTATTTTTACTCCAATTTGATATTTGACATTAACCATGTTAAATATCTTAGTTATTTGAATTATATGTAAAAACCTTAACATTTAAACCTTCTAAATAATTATAGATAATCGTCAGATATTAATTAAGAAACATTACATGAAAACAGACTAACATTTTCTCAATTCTCGTAGTGATAATTTTGTTTTTGCACTATTCTCATAGGTGTCATTGGAACCTAAAAATAGCCACAAAGTGAAATAATAACTCATATTTATGGCAAAGCACAAATGTTGACACGATATAAATGATTATTTGATTATGACGTAACTCTTATACCACGACTTGAACTCTTATTTGGTATGATTTTATCTTTCAAAAAATATTTCTATTTTGAAATCTCAATTTCTAAATATATATATATATATATATATATATATATATATATATATATATATATGCAAGTGAAGATATTATCTTTAATTTAAAATTCACTTTAATCGGCTATCTAAAAGTTTAAATGATTTTTTGGCCGGATTTATTTTAGTATGACTCCACTTTAAGTTTATCGATATCTCTAGCCCCAAAATTTAAATTTTTAATACCCTATATATACAAAAAAAGATTGTTCTTTGAATCATTAAAATATTAAATTAGTTGATTATTATTATAAAACATTGCATATATTGTCTTAAAATTGTCAAGTAGTTTATTTTTCGACACCATACTTGGCTTAACCTCAATGGAAACTACTCAAATTGCATTCCAATTTAAATTTGAATATCATATCAGTTTGTTAGTAATAGTGATTTTTTAAAAACGACACATAATGTAAATT